GAACATCTTACGGGCGACGTCGGGAGGGCCCTTATTCTTCGTCGTTCTTGCTTAACACCACGAGCTTCCGTTACTGACCCGGTGGAGCGCAACCATATTTTTGAGTCTTCTTGCACCATTGGTGATCGAGTGTGCCACTTTATTATCGATTTCAGTTCGTGTGAAAACGTTATTGCTCAGGAGGCAGTGGACAAGCTGGGACTTGGGGTCGTGCCGCATCCTCAGCCATACATGCTTGCTTGGATCCAAAAGGGCTCCGCGGTGACAGTGGATCGTCGGGTGTTGGTTGGTTTTTCTATCGGACCGAGGTACAGGGACCAGACGTGGTGTGATGTGGTGCCCATGGATGCGTGTCATCTTCTTTTGGGCCGTCCTTGGCAATTTGACAGGGCAGCTACTCACGACGGCCGACACAACACGTATAGCTTTCTTTTTGGAGGCGTGAAGGTGGTGTTACATCCGGGACCCCCTCGGCCGTTGCCCGCAGCTACGCCTTCACCAGTTCTTTTTCTTTCTCGACCGGCCTTTGAAGCAGAAATGCGTGCAGCACCACTTGTATTACTTTTGTTCGGAACCGAGACCGTTGAAGACAGTGAGCCGCCGGTTGCTATTCGCCATTTATTGTCCGAGTTTTCTGACGTTTTCCCAGAAGAGATTCCGACGGGCCTGCCGCCTTTGCGAGACATACAGCACCACATAGATTTGATGTCGCGCGCTTCGCTACCAAACAGACCCCACTATCGTATGAGTCCGATTGAGCATGAGGAGTTGCGTCGGCAAGTGGAGGATCTTCTCCAACGCGGGGTGGTACGCCGGAGTTTGAGTCCTTGTACGGTGCCTGCACTGCTCATTCCGAAAAAGGATGGCGCGTCGAGAATGTGTGTTGACAGTCGGACCATCAACAAAATCACGGTTCGCTATAGTTTCCCGATTCCTCCCCTGGATGACTTGTTGGATCAGCTTCATGGTGCCACCGTCTTCACCAAGCTGGACCTTCGTAGCGGCTATCATCAGATCAGGATCCGCCCCGGGGATGAGTGGAAGACGGCTTTCAAGATTCGGGAGGGCCTTTTTGAGTGGATGGTCATGCCGTTTGGACTGCCTAATGCACCCAGTACTTTCATGAGGGTGATTAATCAAGCATTGCGGGCGTTGATAGGTAAGTGTGTCGTCGTTTATTTCTATGATATTCTTATCTACAGTCATTCAGTTGAGGAGCACTTGCAGCACGTTCGTTCGGTTTTGCTTATTCTACGTGCCGAATCATTCTTTGCGGCACCCCGCAAGTGTTTGTTTATGGTGGACTCGGTTCTTTTCTTGGGTTTTGTGATTTCTGGCGACGGCATTCACGTGGATGACAGCAAGGTGGCCGCTATTCGGGAGTGGCCGACTCCTACCAGTTTTACCGAGGCTCATAGTTTTCACGGCTTAGCTTCCTTTTATCGACGGTTTATCTCTCACTTCAGTTCAGTGACGGCCCCTATTACCGA